TATAATTATTTATATACTAATTAAGGCACATTATAATATTGTCCGGTATATGTACATTTACATGATATACCATTATCATATAGATCTTTATATTTTTTTTTATATTTTATTATTTATTTTTTATTTATATATTTTATTTTATTATTTTATTATTTTTATTTTATATTTATTATTTATTATTTCATATATCTATTATTATATATTTATATTATTTTTTTTTATTTTTATTTTATTAGTATCTTTTTTTATTTTTATTTTTGTTTGTTTATTTTTTTTATTATTTTATTATTTATTTTATTTATTATTTTTTTTTATTTTTTTTTTTTTTTATTTTTTTTTTTATTTTTTATTTTATTTATTTTGATAATATTATAATGGCTATCATAGATGTTATATATTCAATTGTTAACTATATATTGATTTAGGGATGTAAGCTTGTTAGTTTTTTATTCGTATCTTCTTATTCTATTTACTCTGGCTCATTTGTACTTTATATCTTTTATTGTTTCACTCTATCTTAATCCATAATTTATTGAGTTTATATTCATGTTAATCTATTAATAATAGTTCTCAATTCTATAGTTATTTATTACACTCCTATGTCTCTATAAGTATAGTATTCATATCTTATACTTATACTATCACTATATATAATAAGGCTATATACTTTTTTCTTATTTATGTTATTCGTATATATACAGGTTGTTATACTTTACATTATCTTTATATTGTCTTACCTCTAATATCTAATATATATTATATATTATCTCCGCTCGTATATATATTTATATTAATTATATATATATTATATATATGTGTGTGTGGTGTGTGTTGTGTGTGGTTGTGTTCGTGGATGTGTGTGGTGTATTATACCATATATATTCGTATCGCATTACTTATCACTATCTGTTATACTCTCTCTCTCTCTTATCTGTCTCTCTCTCTCCTCTCTCTCTGCTCTCTCTCATATTCTTTATTAACTCTACTATTACTCTACTTTACTTCATCTATACTCATTATCTCTCTATCTATCTTCTTGTCATCGCTCTTACTCATTTTTATATATCATCTCTCTCTATTCATCTATATCTAGGCTTATCTATCTTTCTATCTGTCTTTACCTTCTTATTATCTACTTCTCTCTTTCTTTTACCTCACTTCTTTCTTTATCTCACTCTTATCTCTTAATTGACTTTTTCATGCTATCCTACTTACATTTAATCTATACTCTATCTCTCTCATCATCCTCATCCTATCTTATCTATCTATCTCATTTATTCTATATTATCTATCTACTTATAAATTTCTTTAATCTAATCTTACTATCTATACTATTTATATATATATTATTATATATATTAGGGTACGAGTCTGGATGCGATGTGGAGGACTGATATCGAGAGTATATCGCTGGGGAATGTAGAATTACAAGGGTTGGTTTAGAGTGTTAAACACGTCAAGGGAACACTCCCAAACCATAACACACACAACATAACACCACACCACAGAAGCCCTTTAGCATACTACACATTACATTATATATTATATATATATATATATCTATATATTATATAGTGAATATAGTATTATATAATAATTACATATATATGTATAAATTATATATATTATATATATATCTATATTATATTATATATATAATATATATATATATATATATATATATTATATATAAGTATATATATATATATTATATATATATATATATATATAGTATATATATATATTATGTATATATATATATATACATATATTAATATATATATTATTATATATATATAATATATATATAGTATATAGGGTATACTAATTATATATATTATATTCTACTATTTATATATAATTATATGTACATATGTGTATACATCCATATATATAATTATATATATATTTATATTATATATATATATATATTTATAGATATATATATATTTTATTTATATATATATATATAATATAATATATATTTATCTATATATATATCTATATATTATATATATATAAGATATAATATTTATATATATATTAGTATCATTATGGATTATGTGTGTGTTGTGTTGTATAATATAAGTATATTATAGTATATATATATATATATATATACTTAATATAATATATTAACGAGAATTGTGGCTCAGATGTATAGATAACCAGTTTAGAATGATTCCTGTGAGGTGCGTATAAATCGTGAAAGGGGGGGAAGCCCTAGTATATAGTATAATTATATTATTATAAATATCATTATATAATTATATATACTTTATGTGTATATATTATCACTATAATATAATATAATTATACTCATGATATAATTAGGTTGGTATTATTCCTTCTGGATGATATATATTCAACGTGGGAGATCTAGTAACAGAGCGTGTGGTGTTTAGTGTGTCTTAACAAGGTATGAGACTATTTTTACTATCATATGTAGAATAGGTCAGTATATATATATATTATATATTATTTACTGATCTCGTTGACT